CCAAAAAGATGATAATTTCACTTTGGCCCACACAGAAGCCAGCTTCCTCAGCCTTGCTACTAAGCTGAAGTTTAACAGCAGTGGGAAGCAAAAAGAATGTCCATAATGATAAGACATGATAATTTTTACAAATTATCCACAAGGGCATTTGTTATTATTGTTTGAAGGATCAGTAATCAGCACTGAAATGTGTTTGTCAAAATAAATCACCAGTTTGGTGATACCTAACCCTGAGTTTGTTTCTCACGTGTGTTTCCTCAGTGAGAGCTTAATTTAAGACTTGAATCAGAGGAAGCCTTTCCCTTGACCAAAACTCATTAACTCCCTCTAGTCAACAGTTTGGAGGCCAGAAAGGATCTTTCCGTCTGACCTTCTGAATAGCATACATTGTGGCATCATTCACAACTACCCCTGTACTGAGCCCAGAAAAAATTGTCTGGACAAGTGCATGTTCTCTAGAAAGCTATGCAAGGCTTTTGGGCAGAGACAACATCTTCAATTGGATCAACTCTTTTCTAGAGTAGAGAAAAAAGAAATAAAAAAAATGCTAAACGTTTGTTACATGTGAGGAGAGAATCCATCACTTCTTTATCTGTCTCTTTGAATATTTACTAACCAAAATGCTTAAATTATTGATAGCATGAACTAAAGTATGGACAAAGCTTTCCTTGAAAAATCACTGAAACATTTCCTTGAAAAATCTCTTTGCATGACTTCTATCTTTCTTCTGCTGTAGTACGGCTTGATGGTTCCAACATATCCCTTCACTGTTAACTGATTATTCATCAGTGGTTTGAAAGGAGACCTTTCAGCTAGAAACCTCCTGAATATTTAGCGTGCTTAAAGATTTGTTTTAATCTAAGCCCACTGGTGATATGTTCTAACTGAAAGTACCTAAATCTCAGTGGTTGTTTCTCTTGGACAGCATCGATCTTGTCTCTGCAGGGTAAATCTCTCTACATTGTCCAATAAAGGAATGTGGGAACACATATTATCTTACTGGCCAGTTATCACATGAGAAATCTTTTTTTTTTCAAGTTCAAAGAATTCTTAAAGGGAAATAGGAAGCATGATTCAGAAAGATAGGGAGGAGAAGCATTATTAATATTCTAGGAGTATTAGAAATTCTTGCCTATCAGCTTAGATTAGTCTGGATGTGACGTAAACATACATACATGGATAATATATTTTAACATACGTATTTAGAGGGGAAAAAGTTAACTCTAACCTGGCTATGCAAACACTCCAGATGAGGAAAGCACGGGAGGGGGGATTTGCTCTACCATTTCACTTTTTCCCACCCATCCGCTGAATGCAGCAAGGATTTTCCCTGTCTGCTTGGTGTGCTTATGAGGAATGATGCCTTCCTTTAAGGGTGCTATCAAAACAGCTCAGGGGAGCGCACCTCTTCTGGTCGTCCCTGGGAACAGTTCACTACCATGCGGTTGTGAGTGGGTTTCTCGAGCATGGGGCTGGGTCCGTGAGCCTCAGCACCAGCCCCCTTGGAGACTGGACGCGGCAGTCCCGCATAACCAGCGATAGACAGGAGTCAATGCTCCTGGCCTCAGCTTCCTCCCAGCTCTCCGCAAACCCCCAGCGCCTCCAGGAGAGACTTATGGGACACTGTGCCATGTTGCCAATGATAGCACAGCACAAAATCAGAGGTTAGCAGGACGTAATTTACTGCTCGATGGTGCCTTCCAAACCCTACCAAGGCTTGGAAAATATCAGGCTCCTCAGAGAATATCATTTGTCAGAAATATTGAAAGGTTTGTTCCTTTCATCACACGATATCTAATGTTTTTCTCCAGTTAAAGTTCCTTTCTGGTCTTGTACCAACTACTTTTCCAGCTTGCATCAACAATCATTTGCTAATAATAATCGCTAGACAGCTTGGAAACTGGTTTCACAAAACATCCTCAATCTTAGCTTCTGAAGGAAGAAAAGATAGGCAAAATTAGCAACGTTTTTTTCAGTCAGCAAGAATGGCTTGTGAATACAGCTTTCCAGATGGAAAAGCGAAAGCATAAGGCCTTGCCTGAACTTTATGTGACACTGAATAAGGTGCTGCGCTTCTGTGAAACACATTCAAGACAGCTGTGAGATAAGTCATGTGCCGTGCCTCTGAAATGACCTGACAGACCACAGTAAGATGTAGTGTTAAGGCAAAGGCCTATTGAATACGTGACGCATGAATACATTCCCCTTAGGGCTCCCTGGAGCCGGACTTGGAGGCCCCCGAGCAGCCTCCGGGGCATTCGGCACCCACTGCGCGACCTGGTGATCCTCCGCAGCCGCCTGGGCTCCCCGGCACGCAGCGATTGCTGGGAAACATTGAGGACGTTATCCCAGAGCAGATGGAAGGAGAAGCACGTGAGCAAGCAGCTTGCCAGCCCCTCTGGCCGCAGTCGAGCCGCCCGATTTACCCGCCTGGCTCCGTGCCATGGCCCAGCCGCTCCGTGAGCCTATTCCTGACAGTGGCTCGCACCAGATGTTTTAAAAGATAGTGCAAGAAAACCTGAAGGTGACAGTTACAGAATAACCTGCCAACAGAGAGAATTTCCTCCAAATTCAATTACTCAGAGGTTGGCTTAAACCTTGAAGCATTAAACTGTATACCTCTCGTAAACTCTGTGTTTGTTTGCTCCTTATGTCTTCACGATGGTAACTGTGAATGTCCTAGGCAAAGGCTCTCCCTGTCTGTTTCTATTTAAAACAGAGAAATTCTTTAAGTTAAGGCTAGACAGAAAAAGTAAGATGCAGTCCCAGACATTACATCTGTCCTGAAAGGATTTTATAATCACTTTTCTACTCTTTGTAAATAGTTTTGCTCCCTACTGAAGGCCACACTAACAACAGGGAGATCTTCCTGATGGGCTGTTCAAAGACCTGGTGCATATTAAATGCACAGAATAAGCAACCTCAGAGAAGTCGCTTTGTGTTACACCATGTTACTAGGGGATGATAACAGAAGAGACGCAAATAATTCAGAGATGTGTGAAGGGAGAGTAGTCAGACAACTCAAGTTATGCTTCCAAACTATCATGTAGGACACTAACGAGACCTTTAAAAGAACAGGCTTCAAATATAGCTGCTGGATGCTCAACATTTTTGAAAATCTTGTGTGTTCACATCCGGACATGGGTGCCAGAATGTAACTGTCAGCACTATTTGGTCCAAATCTCATTCATAATTTTTAACCTGATGGTCCAGTTTAAACACAGAAGACTTCACATTTCAAATAAAGCCCCTCTCTGTGGGTAAAGTTGTTGGGAAGAATAAGTAATTAAACATTTTGAAATGCAGTGGGGCCACCTCATCTCCTCTCAGCAGGTCCCAGGCTGTGAAGGCACGGCTGAAACCCATCCTTCATGGCTGGTTCTGCGGCCCATCAACTCACCCAGGCTGTTCCCTCAGGCCTGCCTCATCCATGACGGCGCTAGTCTCTCAAGAAAGGGGCTTTTGTTTGACCACTGCACTGAGATGAGGGCTGGGACGATGATATTTGCTCTCTCCCGCCAGCTCACCCCTAGGGTATACTGCCACTGTGCATGGTGTCCACCTGGGGGCACGCCGTGTCTGTCACCGCAGAGAGGGGGGACCCCAGAGGGCAGCCAGCGGGGAGCAGGATTGAAGCAGAAGCAGACATGAAACTAATGACACGCATCTCTGGTCAGGGTCCGTCTTGCATGGCTGTTCAGTAGGCTTGCATATGACTGAGGTACCTTAGTGTTAGCCCAGTGATATCAATAACACAGTACTATCAATGCGGGAAAGAAAGAGCGTGTGCTAGATGTAAAACAAAAACAATAACAAAAAAAAGACAGGAGAAAAAAGAAAAATTGGAGGGGAAAACGCGCTTCGGAGGGAAATGAGAAAAGGGTTGTGGAAACAGGACTCAGCTGGAATACTGAGAGATTATTGAAATAATACCAAAACACTACCCAAAGGAACCCTGGAAAAGGCTTGGAGAGAAGAAGAATTAAGTGTAGAGAAGAATGAAGGCAGAACAGAAGGAAAAAAGGATAAAGATATGAGGGGGGAAATCAAAGAGACAGAATAAATCATTGTTGGCACTTTTTTATTTTATAGAAAATTTGCTTTCGTACAGCATCTGACTTGCTGCTTCATGTACACGAGCAAACAACCCCCCTCAAAGAAACTCACAGCCCTGGAGATGGAGGCCAGAGACAAATTGCATATGCTCCGATTTGACTCTTCTTGGAAGCTACAGATGTTCATTGTTTGGAAACACAATGGACAGCTTAATATCTGCAGATGTTCACCAGCCACCCTCCAAGAAAACTAACAGACAGACAAGGGAATGAACACTTTCAGCAACAACTGCAGTTTCTGCTACTGCTTCAGATGATATATTTTGTCAGTTGTTATGATCTGGAGAGCACCTGCTCCATATGCAGAGTCTGTACGACACAGCAATGCCTCTAAATGCCACTAGCCACCAACGCAGGAAGCCTGTAGCTGGTCCATAGAAGTGCCGATAAGCTGACTTCTACTGAGACTTGGTCTCCAGCATTGCTTTTGACTATTTTATCTGACAGGAATAAGCAGATATTTAAAATTACAGACGTATTTAGATGGTTGGATGGTTCAGAGAAGCCATTAGCACAGCAATAATAACACTTCCGAACCAGAGACAAAACAAGAAAACCCCTATAAGAAACATGAGCAGTAATTTGTCTGTAACTATACTCCCTATTCTCAGGGGAGAAAAGTGTGCCTCTAGGAAAAAGCATGTCTCAGTTTAGCCCTACGCGATATACTGTGATACAATTAGTTACTAGACATTTAAACTTGTAGAAAGACTTCTGGTAACACTTTTGTGGCACTCTAGATAACAAATGCCCATTTTAATCTGAAGAGAAAAGGTATTTTTTGTCAATTATCAATGCCCTACTACACAAAAACACAAGTGAGACAGCACTGAAAAATAGTAATTTGGCAGTAGCGCCAAGTACCCCTGAAGAACATTCAGATAGTTTTGAAAATATTAGCTTTTTAATTATTGGCATTATTACCTCTCACGCCCATTCGTGAGTTTTCACTGTCAAAAGAGTAACCTTCTACTAACACAAACAAGTAATGTTAAGTGAAGGGAGTACAGTTATCACCTTCAGTGTGTTAATCTGTAAGAGAAAGAAAAATAGAATCTGGTCTTCCACTGCTAGGAAGAGAACACTAAAAAAGGTGTGTTTTATTCAACTTGAATAATTTAGCGAAATGGATTCTCATTTGGCAGCAAGACAGACTTGAGTTTCTCATCTTGAGTTGTAGCTGCATTACAAATGCACATTGTACTCCAGCAGTGCTTCTTGCCCTCCGGGTGCGGCCCACAAGGACACCACAGTGGAGCTCAGCTCTCCCGTACGGGGTCGGTTTGGTTCAGCTGACTTGAACTTCTCTCCCAAAGACTGCCATAAACCAATGGAAACAAAAGATCTGCAAAGCTGAAGGTAAAATCCTGGCTCTTCTCCAGTGAAACCACTGAGGAATTTAGCTAGTCATTTCAAGAGAATGAGGAATTCATCCCCAAAAGATAGATATCCAAATATTCACCACAAAGTCTGTGGGACCTTTTGATGCCCAGCAGTTTTGAAAATGCACTCACTTCTGCCTGGAGGTGGGTCACTTAGTTACACAGAAAGAAAAACACATTTTGCGACAGACAGCAGAAGAAGATAGGAAAGGGTCCCTTGATAGGAAAAATGCGATTTAAAAAAAAACAGCATGCCATTAAAACATGTATAAATACCTACTATATTCCATGGGTGAACTGTGTTCTCTTTGGTGTACGTGCCTTTTTTTATTAATTCATACACTAAGTGCTAGAGTGTTTCCTAATGCCATTAGGTGGTGCTTTCAGTAATTAGTAGAATAAATAGTTCCTGTAGAGTTCTGTTCCGCATCATAATCTCATTTTCTTCAGTAGAAGAAAATTTAAACAAAACACTATGAGTGCCTCCTCTTTTTGAAGCCCCCAACCTTGCATAAAGCTGAATATCATGTTTCAGAGGCACTCTGGCTCCCCTCGGGTGTTATAAACTGTACTTTGGGCACAATGAGGGAGGGATTGGTTCTCCTCATGGAGTTGCTCCTCCGAATGGAGTTGTTTCTCCTCATGGAGTTGCGTTTTCGCAGGGAGTTTTGATGGGACAGCTCGCTCTTCTGGAGGGTCTGGATGAGAATCGATGGCTTCTCATCAAGCTCTCGAGCACTGCAACGTGGGGCTGCGACTTTGACGGTGTTGCCAAACTTGGAGTAGTCGACGGCATATACGCCTTCCTCTTCGGTGACAATGGGCACAAAGCGGTGACCCCATAGGATCTCCTCTGCTATGTAGGAGGTTCTTGCCTGCGTCGTGATGCCAGTAGTCTCTACAACTCCTTCAAGTACCACTATGAGCTCCAGATCTTGGAGAGCCAGGTCAGCAGCAGAGATATCATAAAGAGGACTTCGTTTGTCTATGACGTGACAAATGATTAAGGGAGCCACAAGGAAAATATTGTTGCTTTCAATGGGATTATCCACAGGGATATCTACTTGGTGAATGGGTATGACTTCTCCTTCGGGGGTAGTAGTCTTCCTCACAACCTGGATTCTCACAGAGGCACTAATGATCATGCTCTTCCTCAGGTCTCCCACTCGAAACATGAAGCAAAGCTTGCCGTTTCGAACAGCAATGACTGCCTGTCGGCTGAAAATCAAGGTCTCTGCCCGCCTGTGAGCTTGCGCAGTTTTCATGAATATGCAGCCCAGCATGACGGCATTGATGATCAGACCCACAATATTCTGCAGAATCAAGACTGTGATGGCCAAGGGACATTCTTCTGTCATCATCCTGCCCCCAAAACCAATGGTCACCTGAACTTCAATGGAGAAGAGGAAAGCAGAAGTGAAAGACCTGGAGAAGAAGATTACACAAGGTTACCTCTAAGCTCGTTGAACACAAACTGAGCAGTTCCTAGTGTATGCTTTCTAAAAACAAACTTAAGGGCCTGTGTGTAACAGTCCTGGTATGCTTAAGACTTCTGTTAATGTTAGTGAAAGCATTGCACGTTCAGTGACTCAGTGTTTGCCTGATCAGTGCATCATCTAATGGTGAGAAGGAAGACTTGAGAACCTGAGCGCCTAAAAGACTGGCTGTAACACTAGGTGGGTCTGAGAAGCTCAGGAGACCCACTGCTCAATAGCACATACTCCCCACCATGTTAGTGGACAGTGCTCTAACACTGGCCATGACCTTTCCACCTTCTCTATCCCATGAAGATCTCGGTGGGGACTGGAGGTTTGCAGATATGTGAGCAATTGGCTAGCACACCAAGATTCTTCCACCAGCCTAGGAAACGTGGAAAACTGCAGCATTTCACTCATACTACCTGCCTCTCTGTGTTGTGAAACCCTTTAATAGGAATGAGGAAATTCCTAGATTCGTACAGCCTCCAAAATCCTTGCTCTCCTTGTGACTAAGCCCTGCAGGATCAGGCTGCAGAGGGAGGGCCGTGGCCTCCACATTCCCCCTCTGGTCATCCTGGTAGGAGGACAATGCTGTGATTCAAAGTTTTGGTTTAGTTTGCTGCCATGGGAAGACCAGCTGGAAAACTTCAACACAGAAATGGGATGTAGAAGTATGAGTTAACTCAAATGGCCCTCATGCATTACAGTGCTGGACATCACAGGATGCTATCCACAACCTTTCCAAACATATTTTCCACAGAGTCCAAACACAAACTACTACATTTAAAGTAGATCATGATATCATCTCCCCTGTATACACCAGGTCTTTCATTTCCTTGTTTAATTGGACACAGGTGATGACACTCACCAAAGTCTCATATGTACAAAATCACTATCTTAGGGTTCATCTGTGAGACATGCAACACATGGGTTCTCATATGAACTGGCATGACAGTTACCCTTTCTAATGTGGTGCAATGCACCAACCTGTGTGTGAAGCATCTTCATGCATAACATGACTTTACCTATGAAAAATGTATGTCCTTTCCATGAGGATGGTTCTAAAATATTCAGTGGTTTTGAAAGAATCTGTTTTATATTAACTTTTCCTTTTTTTTTCCAACCTTATTTTCAGTGAATCCAGGGTCATGAAGTAAAGTTAGAATAGCATAGGCAGTATTAGGGATAATTTTCTGTAGAAAGAGAAAATTCATCTTTCAGAAAACTACCCAGTCTCTGCAGAGGTGTCTTTGAATGAACTTTGTCTTTTTTTCCCCTTTTCTATTTGTTTTAAACTTTGGCAGATTCCCTTGTACTGAAGGGTTTATTCTTGCACTTTACTGTTAAGAAATCAGGGATGGCGGAGCCGATTAACAGAATTAATGGAATGATTTCTTTGTTAATGAGTATTCAATTCCACACAGAATGAGGCTTCTGCCTGAAACTTAATTCACTATATGAAAAGCTCTGTGGAGTAGAATATTCAGATTACCCTTAACCATACTCCTCAAAAAAAGAGAGATAAAAATAAATGATAGTCTGCCTTTCTTCAGTGGAAGTTCTGAGACTGAAGAAGCAAGTTTTTCTAACATTTTGCACAAGTGAAGTGGGAGCCAGAAACTCCAGATCATTCTATCCCCAGGTCTGTCTCTTTAGAGCTCTGCAACAGGTCTCCTCTTTGGATAACACTTCCTTTGTGTGGCAAAATTGCTGTAAGACTTAGAAATTCCACAGTACTTTGAAATATTAAAGTGCTGAGCAAGTTCTATGTGCTGGTTAAAATTTCCAAAACTAGGAGTCCCATAACTCTATAATGGGACCTACCCAAGAAAGCTCTCCTAAAACATCTAGGGGCCTAAATCTCAGAGAAGTAAATTTAAAAACATTTGCCATTATTTCGTGCATATTGTTCCACATCATGGGCTAAAATAAGAAGATACACTACTTCCTCATTTGCTCTGCTTATTCATACCCCTCCCACCGATCCCGGAGAGCTGGCAAGGGGCAGCTACCTGCTAAGTTGGGTGGGACAATCCCACAGCTTCCATCCAGGAGCGATACACCAGAAATGCCGAGGGAACCCCAGAGGATTTCCCCAGGGGCATAAGCTGGGTTATAACACCTCATTGTAGAGGCGATTGCTTGTGGCCAGTTACTGGAAGAGACACAAATCAACAGCCCCCTTGTCATCCCCCTGCTCCAAAGGCCCCTAATTACTGAAGATTACTCTAGCTTGGAAAATCTCCATTTAGCAAAAAAAGTGTGAAAACAAAGGGAGAATGAAATCTCAGCTCCCTCACCAGCCAGATACAATATCACTTCAAACTTGGCGAGGTGCCTCAGAACGACATGTAACAGAAAGGAGAAAAGACCAGCGGATACCTGGATTGCCTCAGCCCCACTCCCCACCCTGCAGCCCTTTGCAGAGGCCCTTGCAGCCCTGCAAAGAGTACAGGCAGCTACTCCAGGACAGTCAGGCAGCACAGGATCAGGATTTTTCTGCTTAAAGACTTGTGCTATAAAAACAGATCTTACTGCTAGGTGACAAGAGTGATCTTATTGCTTACCCCTACATTCAATTAACAAATACTCACTGTTCTGTAGACGTACGTGTTGCTTTATCAGTGCCTTGAAAATTATCATGGCTTTGGGGGTTGAGCAGCATGTAACCTAGTAGTCCCTAAGATTTCATCGTAGACCTCCTGTCTGATACAGCAGACACATCACAGAATTGGTTCCTCCATCAAACTGCTGGCCTATGTGTTCCTCAAGGGCCAGTAATTTTGGTGCACCTCGGATTTGGCTGTCTAGCAAAAGTAATTTTTACAGAAGACTCTTTTTGCCTTAAAGGGCACTTTGCTCTCTAGCCCTCGCCGAGGCTGGTGGCTGGTGTCCTGCCTCTGGGGCGCCGCTCTCGAGGCGGGCCACCTTTCGCTGACGTGGGGAGAGGCTGGCACTGCGCTCAGGGCGATGCCGCTGCCGTAGACAACGTTGCAGTACGGATAACACATACCCACTCTTGCAGCAGGCTCTTATCTTGACAGCAAGGTATGCTACCCACAGAGTGTGGAGACACATGAAAAGCAGCAGGTCTCCCTCTCTTTCAGATCCTGTAAGGAATCAAAGAAATCTACAGTACAGTATTTTCCAAGCCTTGAAGGCTTGCTGAATTTATCTAATCTAGAGGAAAACACTGCACTTTTCAGTTGTCTCACCCAACGGTTCAAGTAAACCAAAAGCTGCCTTTTAGCCATTGGCAGGACCCCAGGCAGCTCCGTTCCCCCCTTTCTTCATCCCACCTACTGCACTTTACCTGACACACGTCACGCACGGTGTCCACTTGGTGCTGTTTGTAGTGCACTCAATGCTTGGGTCCATGTCCCCATGGGCGAAAGCCACCAGCCACCACATCATGGCAAAGAGCAACCAGCTGCACAAGAAGGACATAGTAAAGATGACCAGCGTGTGACGCCACTTCAGGTCCACCAACGTGGTGAAAATGTCTTGCAAGAACCGTCCCTGCTCACGGATGTTCTTGTGCGCCAGGTTGCATGCCCCGTTCTTGGCGATGAAGCGGGCTTTGCGCGGCCGGTCCCGGATCCGCGGCTTGCGCAGGTTCTCCGCAGCGATCCGTGCCAGCACATACTCCTCAGGAATAATACTCTTCCGAGCCAGCATCTTCCTGCCACCATAGTCCACCTAGCGGGATGCCAAGTGGGGGATGGTCCCTCTAGCACGTCTTTGCAGGTCTCACTCTGTACCCTGTGAAAAGAGAGAACGTGGTCAGATTTGCCACCTCTGCATCGCAGCGAGAAGCCCTTGGTACCCCTGTGCCAACAACCATTACAGTAAAGGTTGCTGTGTGATTATTCTGCAGCGCCCTCACTATTTCAGAGCATGATTTTCATATGACCAATTGGTATTGGCTCCCAGCAGAAACAAAATGTGCTACTTTGACACTTCTTGCAGCGAGGCAGGCTGCAGAATAAATCTCGCAGACTTGGTCTGAAGTAACATGCCATAGGACAAGTCGGTTCCTCGGGCTGCTTCTCCGCAAAACAGCTGTGCCCAGGTGGGTGCCGCAGCACGGAGCGCTCAGCTACTCGCACACTTCGGGATCGGCAGCATCTGACTCGTCTGTTTTAGACCAGAGCTAGACCGTGGAGAGACCTCGGGGAGTAATTTCTTCTGGCTGTAGCCCCGCAGTGCAGCCAGGAGCCCCACCGAAAAGCCACTGTGCCCAGTGCCCCGAGAGCATGACACGCCGTGGCTGCGCCGTCAGTGCGGGAGGCAGGGAACAGGACCCCCC